ACTGAGTTAACACAGCATCACTAGTGATAATGCCCGACGCAGTTGATAGCAGAATTGTACGTTCCTGTTGTAACGAAGCAACTTTGTTCTTGAACCGAGCCTTAGCACCTCTAGTGTACTTCCGTGCGCAGCACTTCAGTAACACTTTGAAAGATTCCCATATGTCTTGAACAGGCACAGGTTCACCCCCACCACCGTCACCAGGATTATCAACACAAACAATGGAATCAAAGAAGAGCGCCACGGTCTTATCCAGCAGAACCAGGAACTCAGCATCATCCAATAAAGTAGGGTTGAAACGCCAACAACCGGGACCAATATCAACACGGGCAGGAACAAGATCGATTGATAGTAAACAATGATCTGTATACGCCGAAGGGACTTTTCGAATCATACCATTAACCAGTCGAGTAGCCAGAGAGCGATGACCAAAGACATAATCAATAGTAGTTCTTGAGTTACCCTGCGTGTGAGTAGGAAGACCAGAAGGAAAGCAATTGTCGAAATGACTACGCACCCAATCAAACCAGAAAGACACAGTGGAATGACCAGTAACCTTGACATTATGAAGATTCATGTTGAGATCACCCATAAGTAGCCAAGGCGCAGTAGACATGTCAGAGAAAAAAGGAAGAGAAAGAAAATTGTTCAAAAACAGAGGACGGTCCGAAGACTGTGCCGGTACGTAAACAGAGGCAACGCGACACGAGACATTCTGCTGAAGATCCATAACTGAACCAACAACACAACGCTCGTCCAATGAAACAGCTGTGTCATCCAGATAGAGACCAGAATTGAGACATACAATAGCACAATATTTGGAGACAACCACCGAACAACGAGGAAAAAGAAAGGAGCAGAATTGAAGCATTTGATCATCAGTAAGATGGGCTTGATGAAAAGAAGAAACTTCTTGAATGCAAAGAACATCCAGAGACAAAGAACGATTGCGCAGAAAAGAAATAAATTCCTTTTGAATTTGAGGGCTCGTCGACTTGAAAATGCTGCGCGCATTAAGTGAGCCCAAGCGAAGAGGTTTACCTAACATTGCGCCTTATCGGCAGTCTGTTGGAGTTTCTTTTTCATATGAATACTTGTATATGGCGGAGGCACACCCATTTTCTTTGAAGAACTAGATACTTTTTTCACACTACCGCCGGCAGGCTGAACAGTCTTTCCTTTCTTTGAGCCAAGAATTCGACCACCACCACCAACAGAGTTCCTTCCAGTTAGACTAGCACCAGCAATAGAACCTGCACGAGCACTAGCACCAGCACCAGACATATCACCACCAGCACCAGACATATCACCACCAACACCAGACATATCACCACCAGCACCAGACAAATCACCACCAGCACCACACATATCACCACCAGTTCCAGAAGTAACAGCACCAAGACTAATACCACCGACCTGAGAGACATCACCACCATCAGAGCTCACACCGGAAGCAGCACCAGACCCAGAGACACCAACCGAGACATCACTAGACACACCAACTGCCAAGTCTTCATCTTCACTCATGTCATCGCACATGCTAGACCCAATTGTCTGAGCTGACTCGCTAAGCTCAAGCTCCACAGGAGAGACAGAGTCCATGTCCACGTCAAATACTGGAGATGTCGAAGCCCATTTCGAGGATTTGGTGCCTTTATCAAGTGTGGTAGCTTTTTCACCAACTATAGAACCATGAGGGTCAGCCGTAGATATATTAATACCATCATCTTTTGCGCGATTGCAGGCGCGCAGATACTCGTGCAAATCAACGGCGTCGCTGTTCATCTTTTTGGCCTTACAAAATTTTGCGGTATGACCATGACCATTACAGCTAAAACACACCCGTTTGGCCAGTTCAGGACAGTCCTTTCGAAGATGACCAGCCATTTTACACCAATGGCAGACAGGAAGAGCACCTTTGAAGGAAGCAGCAGCAAAACAATCCCATTGTTCTAGGTACAAACTATTGGACAGAGGTTGGGCTTTTAATGTTTCACCAAGATCATTCTGGTAACCTTCAGAAACATCCAACAAAACAGACACCTCACCCTCAAAAAAACCGTGATAAGTGAACTTCTTGATCTGATACACCTTACCATAATACTTTAGAGACCGTTTCAAATCGGCAGCAAAATTCTCTTCATCAGGTATTCTTAGCATGCTCAACTTGATATGCACCAAATTACTATTTGACATACCATCATGTGAAGGGGAAGCTTTGAAACAAAGTTCACCGACCATTACACCTGTTGAGAGAGCCTTAGTTGTACTTTCGGGGCGCGAAAACTCCACTTCCACCAGAAGATCACCAGTTGACTTACCACCATACATACTAAGTGGCCGAACACCCGTGATCTTACCACAACTGGCCTCAATGGCAGTATAAGCTTCTGCCCGAGCTTTAAAAAGACGAGCCGGAAAAGAAAAAAGAACCGAACCAGGAGTCAAAGCCTGACGCACAATAGCAGCAGCTTTACGAGCCAAGATCTGAATTTCCAGGTCAACATGTTGGTAAATTACCGTACCAGAAAGCTTAGATTCCAAGTCTTGTACCTTAGAGCGATACATTGGACGAACAATTTTATTGGACGCCCCACGAGCAACAACAGTTGTCCAGGACAACCGATCATTTGATTCCATGTCATTCATTTTCAAAATTGGAATCAAGAATTGAAAATTGAGAATTGAAAAAAGTTTTTTGTTCGAAGATTTCTATAAATGTCGAGATTGTAGTCGAGATCGAAGAGATGAACGAAAGCGTAATAATTGAAAAAGATAGAGCTTGCAAAGACGCGTCGAATGCAAAAAGAAAATTGAATGGATGGATAGAATTCACCGAGATATCGTCGAAACAAGTTTTTGGATGCAAATACCTTTTCTTTTGTAAAAATTCTTTAAGCGAAAGAAAGCCCAAGACCTAACGTGATTTTATTAAAATAAAGAAAATAAAAAACGGAATATTCCTTTTCGCTTATCTTTAATTTTTTTTTTAAAGTACCTATATACCATGAACCCAATTGACGAGACTTTTTTCGATATAATGCAAGAGCAACTTTGGATCGGAAATTGTTCTGACCGTTTTGAATACGAATATCAATATTTCGATGCCGTGATGGATAAAATCATTATAATTGACGAAGAGATAGATTTAGAAGAGGAAATGCTTGAACAAGAGGTTGCAACTGCCGAAGAGAGCATTATTGCGGACTATGCTCGTCTTGAAGGCAACTATGACGTTTTTTCCTTGTTCCAACTTTGGGTTAGAGAAACAATTTTGCATGCAACCACTTTAATCAACTATGACATCTTTTATTACATCTTCATAAGCAACCCTTGGATGATGACCCGAGAATCGTACAGAAGGGTTGTTAGAACCGAGCGTATGGACACGTACGAAACGTACTGGACGATAAAACATCCCAACTTGAACGACCATCGTAACAGCCGCCATAGCTATAGAGCTCATTATCGAGTCAACAAGCCGACCTTCGAGTGGCTCGTCAATCTATTGAGTAGATGTGCTCCTTATCTTGGGTCAATTATGCGAGGTGGTTACTCTTTCAAAGTTCAAGTTGCGTGTGTGCTTTGGAGATTTGCTAACCCGCATTTTGGTTATCGAATTGCCGAAACTCATCTTGGAGTAACTGCCGGATCTTTCAATCATTTCACTAACCGCTTTATTGATGCCATGTTGGAGATTACTCCCGAGCTTGTAACATGGCCCATCGAAGATGGACAGAGAGCTTTGAACAATGCTAGTGAGTTTGCAGAACTTGGTGGACCTGGTGCCACGAGACTTTCTGGTGTACTTGGTGCGATTGATGGCAAGCTGGCCGTGATCCAAAAACCAGCAATAAATGGAAACGCTTATGTCGATAGAAAGAGTCATGCATCCATGAATTTGATGGCAATTTGTGATGCACGTACTCGGTTTATGTACGTAAAAACTGGGCATTCCGGTAGGTTCATGTGGAAAGATAAAAAATGACACGGCAGCTTACCGGTGGTTATTATACTAAGGCAGAAACCATGATGCCAGAGTATTCACAAGCAGCGTGATTTATCACAAAATTTTGTTCGATGCGGCCGGATGGTGTCCTGCAAACACTTATATTTTGGGAGGTAAGTTCATTTATTACTTCAAGGTATATAAAACATTAACGATGAGACCTAGATTCGGCTTACCCTTTGGTGCCAAATCTCATTGTTCCATTCCACGGCCGACGTGAAAGCACTGCGGAAGAACAAATTTTCCATGCAACCTTTTCTAGTTCTCGAATTAAAATTGAACATGCATTTGGTGGGCTCACGTCCAGGTGGAGATTTCTTTGGAAGCACTTGTATTTGCGCAGCGTTGATAGAATGGCTAAAACCATCATATCTTGCTGTGGTTTGCACAACGTTTGTATAAACCAAAACAAGATCGAAGAGGCAATTTTGGATGGAAGCTTGGATTTTGCGGGATTTATGGAGGCAGACCGTCGAAACCAATTTAAAAATGAAATGAACTTCGAACCTCCGCTTCCTTTCCTCGGTACTAAGGCTACCATTGATGCTGCAGGTATGCGCCGTATTAAGGCAATGTTTATCTTAAGAAGAAACAACATCGTGAGGGGAACAGATAGACTTGCTTAGTTTTCAAAAGGTTTTATTGTATTAAGTATATTTTTATTTAATTATTGTTCTCGGTAGATAATGAACCCAGATTGGTATCGCTATCGCCTCTTCAAATGGCCGCAAATCTATTCATAATAGTCGCCATATCAGAGATACGTTTACGTCTATCCTTTTCCAAATCGGCCTCTCGTCTACTTCTTGATTCTTCTAGCAGTCGATATCTCTCTCTGGACTCTTGTCGTCTTCTTGTTTGCATATCTTTTAATTCAGTTTGTCGATTACGACTGACCCATTGCAACATACAGTTTTTTTTTTTTTTTTTTGTATTAACAGTGAGTTTATTTAGCAAGCTAGATATAGAAGTAAAACAAGGGAAAGCTAAACTATTTTGGTTTAGCAACCTTTGTCTTCGTAAACATTTTGTGACTTTTAAGAGCATGTTGCGTCTGGACAACTAACTTAGGAGCAGGACCTTTGAAGGTTTGCTTGATAGCCTTCTGTTTACCCAAAATGGAACGCTTTTGTCCTAGCATTTTTCTTCCACCATCAACCAGGTTACCAGCCAAATGGGATCTCTGAACTGTCACCGGTAATGTACCCTCGTCTTCTTCAATTTCCATGCACACCGTTTCTAGAGTTGTGGCGTACTTAGACGTTGAAGAACCACTTTCAGCAATCTTCGAAGGCTGGTACGCATCTGACAGGTCTGTATCAGAATCGGACATAGACTGTTCAACAAACGTAGGCAGCTCGATATTAGATTCCTCCTTAGGAGTATTGACTTGCACTGGCTTAAACGTTTTCTTTTTATAAAACTTCGCGGTATGACCATAACCTTGACAAGCGAAGCACTTGGTTTTGGCCAATTCGGGACATTTGGAGCGTACTTGACCGGCGTGGTGACACCAATGACAAACGATAGGGGCACCTTTGAAGGATGCCGAAGCAAAACAATTCCATTAGTACAAATATAAATTATTCGACAGCGGCTCATTGGCAAACTCTCCACTATCATCATCAGAATAACCGGTAGTCGTATCGAGTATCACTGATAATTCGCCTTCGAAATATCCACCACAAGTGTACTCCTTGACTTGCAAGACTTCTCCGTAAACAAGAAGAGACCTCGTTAACTTTTCAAGAAAATCCTTCCTATCAAGAATGTATAAAAGTGATATCTTCACATGGGCAAGCTTGCTCAGTTCGCTATCATTTGAATGAGTTCCTTTGATAACGGTGCTCTTAATTGTAACACAAGTAAAAATTGCCTTGTCAAAACTTGAGTCATCAACAAATTTGGCTTCAATCAAATGATCACCATCTAAACTCGAACCATAGTTACTGATCGGGCGGAAACCATGGAAAGGACCACATTGCGTTTCAATAAGCTTATATGCTCCGGTACGATGTTGGATTAACGAAGCAGGAATGAAAGAAAAGAGCGGAGTCAGGTGTCAAGGCCTGTTTCACTATTTCGGTAGCCTTCTGCATTCTGATGAGGCCTTCAAGGTCTTCACTTTGGTAGATTACCTTACTTTGTAACTTTAATTGAGAGTCCACATTGTTAGGGACAGATAAGGGACGAACAACTTTCTTGGAATTACCACGGGACGCGATTGTTGCCCAGGAATTGTGAAGTTTTTCGGCCATTGTTTAATAATCCAGAAAGAAAATTAAAATTGGAGATTTAGAATTGAGACTGATGAAATATTTGCCGGATTGGTTAAATGTCGGGATAAACGGCGAGATCGAAGAGACGGAGGGGAGCGTAATAAATAAAAAAGATAGAACCGATAGAGAGGAATGTACTGCAAGAACAATTTCTGATAGATGTATCGAATTCACCGAGATATCGTTGAAACAAGAGTATGGATGCAAATGCCTTTTGTAAAAATTCTTTAAGCCTTTTTTAAAATTCTTTGAGCGAAAGAAAGCTTTTTTTTTTTTTTGTATTAACAGTGAGTTTATTTAGAAATGAAAAAATTATAGAAATCGAAAGGGAAAATTAAAAAAATTATGTTTTAACAACGTTTGTCTTCGTGAACAAATTATGGCCTTTTAAATTGGATGGTGTGCGAACCACCAATTTGGGAATCGGACCTTTAACGCCTAATTTCGGGACAGAATGCTTACCTAAAACCGAGCGCTTGGCACCAGCAACTTTGATAGCGCCACTAGTAACTTCGACCATCCGACCAGCCGTCGAAGAAGCAGGAGTGGTAGTATTTATGTGATTGTCAACCTCCATGGATACACTAGCAACAGTGGTTGCAAACTTAGAAGCTGCAGAACCACTTGCTTCAAACTTGGGGGACGTAGACACGTCAGAAATATCTGTGTCCGAGTCAGACAGCACATGAACGTGGAAGCTCTCAACGATCGGGGAGGGAACATCAGTTGGGATTTTATCCAAAACAGGCAGTTCCGTAACACCAAGATTCTTCTTTTTGCAAAACTTGGCGGTATGTCCACTACCACGACACGAGAAACATTTGGTTTTCGCCAACTCCGGGCATTTAGACCTTGCGTGTCCAGCCAAACGACACCAGTGACAAACCGTGGGTGCACCTTTAAATAATGCCGAAGCACAACAGTCCCATTCCTCCAAGTACAAATTATTTGTGAGTAGCTCATTCTTGACCTTGTCACCAGAAGCATCAATATAGCCAGCCGAGATATCAAGGATAACCGACAGCTCACCTTCAAAATACCCACCGCAAGTGTACTCTTTCACCTGGTACACTTCACCGTAATAACGCAAAGATCGTTTTAGATCCGCCAGAAACGTATCCTTGTCCGGAATTCGCAAAAGAGTCATCTTGACATGCACAAGTGTATTGTTGCCACTAGGAACAGAAGGAGAGCCTTTAAACAACAAGTTCTTGTGACTAACACCGTGAGTGATTGCCTTTGTAGTGCTTGTTGGCATTACAAATTTAACTTCAACCATGGTTTCACCAGCAGAGCGAGTACCATAGTTGCTAATAGGACGAAATCCCTGTACAGCACCACATTGAGCTTCAATGAGTTCATAAGCTTCTGTACGATGCTCAAAAAGTGAAACCGGGAACGAAAACAAAACAGAACCAGGTGTCAGTGCATGCTTGACAATAGAAGCAGCTTGACGTACCATAATTTGGTAATCAAGTTCAGGATGATGGAAAAGTATGTTACTTTTCAACTTGAATTGATAATCAGTCTCGGCAGAAACAGGAAGTGGACGCAGGACTTTCTTGGAGGCACCGCGAGAAGCCACAGTTGACCAGGAAACATGATCTTGTTTTGACATTGTTAAAGATCCAGAGGGAAAATTAAGAATGTCGATTTTAAATGTGCAAATACGAGAGAATGTTTTCACAAATGTCTTAAATGTCGAAATTGAAGCCGAGATCGAAGAGATTGGTGAAAGCGTAATAATTGAAAAAGATAGAGCTTGCAAAGACGCGTCGAATGCAAAAAGAAAATTGGATGGATGGATAGAATTCACTTAGATATCGTCGAAACAAGCTTTTGGATGCAAATACCTTTTGTAAAAAATCTTTAAGCGAAAGAAAGCTCACAACAATAATCTCGTACACGTTGTAAGATCCGGTGGTCTAACGTGAGTCCGTTTCTTCGTACCAAATATCAGCCTCAACTCTAATCCTAAACCCATATAAATAACCCCCTTTTTTCTCCCTTTAATAAAAACTTCAGCAATCTTTTTAGCTCAACTAAAACAACCAACAAAATCTAAAAACCAAAACCCTCAACCCCAACTTCTTAAAACTTTTATTTCATTTTCTTTTATTTTTCTTTTATTTTTCTTTTATTTTTCTTTTATTTTTCTTCACTACTTTATACGAGATCATCCTTTTCCTTTGGAAACGGAATAATTCATATAAAACTCACTTCTTTGTCACGGAATCATCTTACAGCTGTCAAGCCATAAGAATACCTCCTTTCAGACCCCATTGTCTATTTATTAAGATCATCTTTAAGCTTACAGCCTAAAGAATAGTTTAATTTATAACCTAACTCTTAAAGATATCATCCCCATAGCGGAATACCATCTTAAAGTGACTCTTTCAAATATAATATTGTTATCATCCTTTCTTTTTGAACGGAATATCGACTTATTATCTATCTAACTTCGTATATAAGATCATCCTTTTGAATTCATTCAATCCATAAGGAATAGTTTATTTACTCTGTTAATTATTCACATTCGATATCATCTAAAGACTCTGTCCTTAAGAATACCATCGTCTTGTCTTTAATTACACTCAATAATCGCATACTTTTCATCATCTTGTACAATAAGTACCAAGAATATCGAAAGTATATAAGTTAAATCTACTCCATTTTGTCTCCCATTCTGCTCTTTTATTAAGATCAGAACCCCATATCGCTTAGTTAAAAGCCCTATTTTATTACACATTCGGATCGCAACCTACTGCGTGGTGCTCACTTAAACTACTTATTAAATCGCCGTCTATAGACCCCAGTACTCTACAACGTCAAGTTCTCGATTTTATATATCCCAGACCAAGAAAACTTTCTGGAAGATTAAGAAAACTTTCTTTCGCTTAAAGAATTTTTCATAAAGGTATTTGCATCCAAAAACTTGTTTCGACGATATCTCGGTGAATTCTATCCATCCATTCAATTTTCTTTTTGCATTCGACGCGTCTTTGCAAGCTCTATCTTTTTCAATTATTACGCTTTTGTTCATCTCTTCGATCTCGACTTCAATCTCGACATTTATAGAAATCTTCGAACAAAAAACTTTTTTCAATTCTCAATTTTCAATTCTTGATTCCAATTTTGAAAATGAATGACATGGAATCAAATGATCGGTTGTCCTGGACAACTGTTGTTGCTCGTGGGGCGTCCAATAAAATTGTTCGTCCAATGTATCGCTCTAAGGTGCAAGACTTGGAATCTAAGCTTTCTGGTACGGTAATTTACCAACATGTTGACCTGGAAATTCAAATCTTGGCTCGTAAAGCTGCTGCTATTGTGCGTCAGGCTTTGACTCCTGCTTCGGTTCTTTTTTCTTTTCCGGCTCGTCTTTTTAAAGTTCGGGCAGAAGCTTATACGGCCATTGAGGCCAGTTGTGGTAAGATCTCGGGTGTTCGACCCCTTAGTATGTATGGTGATAAGTCAACTGGTGATCTTCTGGTGGAAGTGAAGTTTTCGCGCCCCGAAAGTACAACAAAGGCTCTATCAACAGGTGTAATGGTCGGTGAACTTTATTTCAAAGCTTCCCCTTCACATGATGGTATGTCAAATAGTAATTTGGTGCATATCAAGTTGAGCATGCTAAGAATACCTGATGAAGAGAATTTTGCTGCCGATTTGAAACGGTCTCTAAAGTATTATGGTAAGGTGTATCAGATCAAGAAGTTCACTTATCACGGTTTTTTTGAGGGTGAGGTGTCTGTTTTGTTGGATGTTTCTGAAGGTTATCAGAATGATCTTGGTGAAACACTAAAAGCCCAACCTCTGTCGAATAGCTTGTACCTGGAACAATGGGATTGTTTTGCTGCTGCTTCTTTCAAAGGTGCTCTTCCTGTGTGCCATTGGTGTAAAATGGCTGGTCATCTTCGAAAGGACTGTCCTGAACTGGCCAAAAGGGTGTGTTTTAGTTGTAATGGTCATGTTCATACCGCCAAATTTTGTAAGGCCAAAAAGATGAACAGCGACGCCGTTGATTTGCACGAGTATCTGCGCGCCTGCAATCGCGCAAAAGATGATGGTATTAATATATCTACGGCTGATCCTCATGGTTCGATAGCTGGTGACAAAGCTGTCACACTTGATAAAGGCACGAAATCTTCGAAATGGGCTTCGAGACCTACAATTTTTGATGTGTACATGGAGTCTGTCCCTCATGTGCAGCTTGAGGTTAGCGAGTCAGCTGAGACAATCGGGTCTAGCATGTGCGATGACATGAGTGAAGATGAAGACATGGCAGTTGGTACGTCTAGTGATGTGTCGGTTGGTGCCTCTGGGTCTGGTGGTGGTTCCGGTGTGAACTCTGATGTTGGTGAGGTGTCTCAGGTCGGTGATATTAGTCTTGGTGCTGTTTCCTATGGAACTGGTGGTGATAGGTGTGGTGCTGGTGGTCATTTGTCTGGTGCTGGTGGTGATATGTCTGGTGCTGGTGCTAGTGCTGGTGCTGGTTCTATTGCTAGTGCTAGTCTAACTGGAAGGAACTCTGTTGGTGGTGGTGGTCGAATTCTTGGCTCAAAGAAAGGAAAGACTGTTCAGCCTGCTGGCGGTAGTGTGAAAAAAGTATCTAGTTCTTCGAAGAAAATGGGTGTGCCTCCGCCATATACAAGTATTCATATGAAAAAGAAACTCCAACAGACTGCCGATAAGGCGCAATGTTAGGTAAACCTCTTCGCTTGGGCTCACTTAATGCGCGCAGCATTTTCAAGTCGACGAGCCCTCAAATTCAAAAGGAATTTATTTCTTTTCTGCGCAATCGTTCTTTGTCTCTGGATGTTCTTTGCATTCAAGAAGTTTCTTCTTTTCATCAAGCCCATCTTACTGATGATCAAATGCTTCAATTCTGCTCCTTTCTTTTTCCTCGTTGTTCGGTGGTTGTCTCCAAATATTGTGCTATTGTATGTCTCAATTCTGGTCTCTATCTCGATGACACTGCTGTTTCATTAAACGAGCGTTGTGTTGTTGGTTCAGTTATGGATCTTCAGCATAATGTCTTGTGTCGCGTTGCCTCTGTTTACGTACCGGCACAGTCTTCGGACCGTCCTCTGTTTTTGAACAATTTTCTTTCTCTTCCTTTTTTCTCTGACATGTCTACTGCGCCTTGGCTACTTATGGGTGATCTCAACATGAATCTTCATAATGTCAAGATTACTGGTCATTCCACGGTGTCTTTCTGGTTTGATTGGGTGCGTAGTCATTTCGACAATTGATTTCTTTCTGGTCTTCCTACTCACACGCAGCGTAACTCAAGAACTACTATTGATTATGTCTTTGGTCATCGCTCTCTGGCTACTCGACTGGTTAATGGTATGATTCGAAAAGTCCCCTCGGCGCATACAGATCATTGTCTACTATCAATCGATCTTGTTCCTGCCCTTGTTGATATTGGTCATGGTTGTTGGCGTTTCAACCCTACTCTATTGGATGATGCTGAGTTCCTGGTTCTGCTGGATAAGACCGTGGCGCTCTTCTTTGATTCCATTGTTTGTGTTGATAATCCTGGTGACGGTGGTGGGGGTGAACCTGTGCCTGTTCAAGACATATGGGAATCTTTCAAAGTGTTACTGAAGTGCTGCGCACGGAAGTACACTAGAGGTGCTAAGGCTCGGTTCAAGAACAAAGTTGCTTCGTTACAACAGGAACGTACAATTCTGCTATCAACTGCGTCGGGCATTATCACTAGTGATGCTGTGTTAACTCAGTCTGGTTCTGGAAGTATCTTGGTTGATTCCTCGAAACTGAAAGAGCTAGATCAACTGATTGACAATCAGATTCAGAAAGAAACGCGTGAATATATGCTTCGCTCTGCTACTCGCTGGCATGAACTGGGTGAACGTAACAACAAGTATTTCTACCGAGTTATCAAGGAGCGTCAGTCTAAACAGACTATACAATCCTTAAAGTGCTCCGCTACTGGTTCCGTCTTGGTGAATTCAGATGATATTATTCGGGAAGCAAGAGGTTTTTACCAGGAGCTATACACACCCGATTTAATTGATGATGCAGCTGTTGACTCTCTCTTGGCAAGTATTCCTGATGATGTGGTGTTGTCTCTAGAAGATTCAGACTCGCTGACAGATCCTATTCTGATGGATACTCTGCAAGATTTGGTTGGTCATACTCCCCTTGGTAAAAGCCCTGGTTTGGATGGTCTTCCTTTTGAGGTGTACAAATACCTATTCAAGTCTTCGGCTGATTTTCGTACGATGCTGCTTGGTATTTTAAATGATGCTCTTATCGGTGTGTTTCCTTCTTCTTGGCAACAAACTAGGATGGTCTTACTTTTCAAGAAAGGTGATCCAATATTACTCAAGAATTGGCGCCCGCTCTCTCTCATCAATAGCGATGCAAAGTTGTTCACAAAACTTCTGGCTAATAGGCTTAATACTGTTCTTCCTCAGCTGATCAATCCTTACCAAACTGGTTTTATGCCTCATTGATTGATCTCGGACAATGGTTGGTTAAATCAAATGTTTATGGCTAATGCTCGTGATGTGGTTCCTGATATTCCTCAAGTGGCAGTTCTGCTGGATCAAGAAAAGGCGTATGATAGGGTCCATCCGGATTATCTCCGCAAGGTGCTTCTTCGATTTGGTTTTCCCCTGACGCTGGTGGATTGTCTAAGTACTCTGTTATTTGGTACGGAGATATCCATCTCTATCAATGGTTGGTTAGGAATGCCTATACCTCAGTCTCGAGGTCTACGGCAAGGTGATCCTCTCTCTCCTCTGCTCTTTAATTTGGCCTTTGAACCTCTTCTTCGGTCCATTCTAGCGTGCTCTGGTCTCTCTGGTGTCTCTCTTGGTGGTGGTGCGGTGTCTTCGGCGGTGTGTCCTCTGGTTCTACCGGTGTGGATTGATACTCCTAGCTCATCCGATCGCGATTTTACCAATCAGTCGGTGGTGAACCCTCCTCGTCCTGTCAAATTACTAAGTTATGCTGATGACTTGGAGGTGTTTTTAACTGGTCCAGGTGAATGGCCGGTCTTGAAATCTTTATTGGATTGCTACGGTCTAGCCTCTAATGCCAAAGTAAATCTAAGTAAAACGGTGTTGGTGTCTCTCTCTGGTGTTGGTCATGCTGAATGGGTCGACATTGCTCAATCCGAAGGTCTCGAATGGCATGATTCTAGTTCTGTTGGTGCGGTGCAATATCTTGGTTACCCTCTGTACCATACCTCCACGCAGCTCGATTCGTTTTTGGATGAAGCTTGTCTTAAAATACTGCGTCACTCCAATATCTTACGTCAGCGCAATCTCTCTCTGCGTGGATCTGGTCTTGTTGCCAATTCTCTGCTTTTAAGTCGGCTCTGGCACATTTTGCGTGTGGTGTCTGTACCACCTAAGTGGGTCGATTCTGTCCAAGCTCTGGTTCGTGGATATTTACTTCCTTTTTGGCCCCGGCCCTCAATGTCTACTATGTATGTCCCGCGAAAATTTGGTGGTGTTAGCTTGGTTGATGTGCATCTGCAACAGCTAGCTTTGCAACACATCTACATTCAACGGTTGATCTCCGGCCCGAAGGCCACTGATTTTGTTTCTCCTTGGTTGGTTCGTGGTATCCAGTTATATACCGGTCACGCCTCAATTTTACCCTGGTTCTTATATCCGACTAAATTTCAAAATTCACTGAAACGGATAGTTCCTTTGGCTCAACTAGGCAAAATTCTACAGAAGCTTCCTGCACTCTCCTTGTCCAACACATGGTCTGCTCGAAGGTTTCTAGATCTGCCTCTGCAATGTGTTGTAACTGTTGTTGATGCAGTTAATACTTGGTCTCCGACACTGGTACCCTCTTCTGTGCCCCTTCGGTATTTGGTCTCCGATATTTTTTCTTGGAATCAGTCTACGGATAACTTGCAAAATACACGTGTCGTCAATGCTAGCAAAGTGAAAGAGGTTCGACGGGCTTTGTATCCATCCGATGGCTGGTTTGCTGCAACTGGTTTTCTTCCAACAGCTTTGCATAATCAATCAAACCGCGATGTTCTGCTCCCGGCATAGCTGCCAGCGCTTTATCATTGGACTGTCCCCCAAGGCCGTGGTAACATGGTTACTGTTTCTGGTATACGTCCAGGTGATCTTCGTTGGTATTGGCATCCAGATCGTACGAATTTTGAGATTCGCGCCGTCATACCTAAAGTGGTTCCAACTCGGTTTCTACTTCGGCCTTCCTTATGGCGGCTCTTTTGGTCCTTGGATATGACGAGTAAGGCTTTCACTCCCTGGTGGCGGCTACTTCAGGATTGTATAGGCTACAGGGCTAAACTACACCGGTGGTCTCCTACCAAGTATCCGTGTGCCAGCTGCCCTATATGTTTAGTCTCTTCTTCCGAAGACTTGTTCCATTTTGTGGTAGGATGTTTCGATAAGGGGCAGTACTGGTGTAACGTAATCTCTCTTCTTAACATTGGTGACACTTTCGAGACTGAATTTGATATTTGGTCCGGCTTCGTATCTCTCTGCGGTCAAAACCAAAAGCCTCTATCGTCGGATATGCTTGTTATTCTTGGCTCTGGATTAGCAACACTTTGGAAATACCATTGGCGCTGTATGATCGATGGTGATCTGTGGAACTCACAGGCTGCTCTTAACATGTTTCAACAAGGTCACTCAGTACTTATTACTGATACTTTAGAAGCTCAATCCCTTTAGTTCGTAGTGATAGTCTAGTGACGCCTTCTGGCTAATTTTATAATTTCTTTATATATCTAATAAGCTTACAGTTAATACAAAAAAAAAAAAAAAAAAAAAAAAACTTTCTGGAAGATTTGATATCATCTATAGCGTATTATGGACAAGTATTACAAATCAAGGAGTATTCCTGTGGTCGTTACTTTGAGGGTCAGATGTCCGTCATTCTGAACACTGTGGTAGGCTACACGGATGAAGATGATGAATATCACGCTAGTGTACCTTTGTCAAACAACTTGTATCTATCCGAATGGGACTGTTTTGCTACTGCGACCTTTAAAGATGCTCCTTCTGTGTGTCATTGGTGCCATGTTGCTAGTCATATTCGTTCCAAATGCCCGGAATTAGCGAAGACCAAATGTTTTGTATGTCATAGTCATGGTCACACAGCCAAGTTTTGTAAGAGGGGAAAACGATCCGTTGTTAGGCAGCCTGTTTTCGCTGAAGTATCCCAGGATATTGACTTGGATTCAACTGATGGTCTTGATGCCAATATTTTGTCCGAGTCAGACAATGATATTTCTGATGTATCTACATCGCCCAAGATTGCCTCCCGTGATTCCGAGGCTTCCAAGTTTGGAACTATTGTTGCTAGTGTGTCTGGAGAGGTGGACCATGTAATGGATACTACTACTCTTCCTTCTTCGAACGCAGAACTGGTTGGTAGAACTGGTGGGACCGATAAAGGTCTTAATCCCCAACGATCTGCTTTAGGTCAACATCCTGTCTCTAAACAGAGCGTGAAAGGGACGTTTCCCAAATTGGAGGCTCGAACACCCCCTACTCTAAAAGGTCATAATTTGTTTACGAAGACTAAGGTTGTTAAAAAATAACCATTTTAATTTCCCCTTTCGTTTTACATATAATCCACTAATTGCTAAATAAACTTACTGTTCATACAAAAAAAAAAAAAACACCAAATTCGGATAATTAAATCAAACTATTACTGCATCTATAATTATAATACATTTGGATCTGTGAACATGAAAGTTTAAATTAATTCTGCTACGTCATGTTACTATAGTTACTGTAAAAATTTGGCTTAGTTGGTTATAGTGTGCAACACTGTATCATTTTCTATGCTAAATGTCTTTGTTGATTGTACAATTAAATAAAAGTCCAAAACATTTTAGTTGGAATTATCAAAGCGTAAATAAAAAAAAATGGTAAAGGGAAGAAAATATTAAAATCAAGGGGAAATGCCATCTGTAGTCTTTGAAGCATCTTTTTTTTTTTTTTTTTTTTATGAAATGTCTTTCAAGGACCTTAACTGTACAGTGACTACTACCGACAGTAGAAGCTCGCTCGAACCTAAAAAAAGTGGCGCAAACTCGAGTACAAAAACTCGGTTCGAGCTTCATTCGAACAAGCACAAGATCGGCGCAAGCTAGAAAAGTTCGAACACTAATAGCCTGTAAGTTAATTACATATATAAAGAAATTATGAAATTAGCTCGAATGCGTCACTAAACTAAGGCGGTTCAAGACTACGTTAAACTTATTCGCATATTTCTAATTGTCAGGATTAATGCCGAGATCAAAGCGTTCAAGGAAGGCGCATTAAATGAAAAAGATAGAGTAGGAGAAGGCGAATGGAATGTAATAAACATTTTGAATAGATGTTTAGAATTGATGGAGATATGGGCCAAAGAAAAAAACTCGCATCGAGAGCACTGAACGGACGGCATTTTTTTTTTTTTGTATGAACTGGACGGCATGTTCGAAATAAAAAAAATAATCAGTAAAATCAAAAATTTTAAAAAGTAAAATAAAAAAAAATAATTTCAAAAAGCCATTTTAAGCGGCGATTCGGGATTTTAACCATTTAAACACCGGTCCGCAAAAAATGTACGATTTAAATATTGTGCATATGCCACATTAACGGTTCTAACGTTATGTTTAGGTAAAACCAGTCCATGTTGTAGTTTGTGCCATTTAGGGCATATGCGCTATCTGCGTCACATATCCCGGTATAGCCCTTAATTTTTTTTCACGTGAATATCACGTGAGATCATGTGAATATCACGTGATGTATCACGTGATGTTTATGGGAATTTCAGGCCGTGTAACCATAGTTGGGCCATTTCATTAAAATATCATTTAATTCATCTGATTTTGCATTTAATTCATAAAAATTTGGGTGCCCAAGGGCACCCAAATTTTTGGATTTTAGAAGGGTTGACTTAATTTTTTACGTGTAAAGTTCCATTTGTTTTTTACGAGATTTATTGAAGTGATTTAAGGGAAATATCATGATTTATTTGTAATTAGGTATTAGTGATTTGGGTTTGTAGCCAATAATGACGGGTAGCAATTCCAGCATACATTATCAGCTACATTTATAAATTTAAACAAGGCAAAGGCTGTACAAAATCTTTCTTCCCAGTTTTTGGTTGTTTAACGTGTCTACCTGTACAGCTTTCTTGTCTGCATCGTCCGCATTTGTTACTGCACAGAGAACCTTTGGAACTTCCAGGACAGTTATCTACCATGCATACCACACATACTCTTTTCCGTTTTCTGTTATTTGATAGATTGATTACTTCAGCTGTAACGTGGCGTGAAAGTGGTATTGTAAGAGGGGTGGCACCCGGGATATGTCTGGAGCGATATGCAGGGCGTATCATCTGTAATTGAGGTGATGGTGGGTTGATTGTACCAAGTGGAAAATGTTGCTCTATAGGGGGTATTGGTTTGGGTAATGCAGGTATTGATCTTATAAACCTGGATGGGGATTCAGCAAGTACTCGAACACTTTGTGATATTTCAATATTTTTGAGAACAGTATTTCCGTATTTTTTCCTGTCTTCTAAAATGTTAAAATATGATTTTAAATGCCCTGGTGTCTTGTAATAAATATTGGTATCATGTTGGCAATGTTTAGAGTTCCATGTTAAAGCGAAAAGCTCGAAATTCGGTTTTTCCGAATCAAAAGGTTGGTATATAGATGTACTCTCTTGGCCTTGGGTATTAATTAGAGTTTCAAAAAGACATACTTCTTCCTTTGTATGAACAGCAGTTACAGCATACAAGGTGCCTTGACAATTCGATAGATATTTGTATTTGAACTTGTTAGCGGAATAACCAATTTTCGGAAGCTCTACCACAGGCAAAGAAGCAAGTTCTGTCATCCGACCTTTTGTTATTTTAACTTTTTTTGGAGCAAGAGATTCAGTAGGCCTAATTCCAATTGAGTTGCCAAATGTTCTGGGTATATCGACGACACCAAAAGTTTCATTGGTCTGTTCAAAATTCAAGTAACTCCCATAGCGTTCACAGGTATAATTCATAACGGTATCGTGACCTACTTCAGCTCTTAATAAATTTATAGCCAGTACAAGCCAAGGACTATAATGGCCTTGATGCTTTTTACCGTATCTGTTAATTGATCCAACCTATGATGATGTATAACTTTCAGTTTATGAAATATTTTTTAAATCATTTATTACTTACATTGAGGTTATGATATAACCGGTAGTCGGCTAAAATTGAGTCGGTCAATCTAACTGATGCATTGTAAGAAGCAAACCTTCGAACAATGTTCATATGGCATGCTCCTTCAACCGAGCTTGTTCCTCTGGAGCATTTATATGTCATGAGATTGTTTTTGTCCAAACCTTTTTCGGTATATAATGGAGGCCCATTAACAACGTCTGAGACATGCCCTTGCTTCACCGAATCCAAAACATGCAGGGACATGGCAACAGCTGCGTCATTGAAGAGTTTAAGGCCGGAATGCTCACACCTGAGAGGACCGTAGCTTTCAAAAAGGAATTTCAAGGCGGGGTATAATTCTTCGGCTGGGGGTATATGCCTTCTTACACGTTCGAATATCCAAGCAGGGTTTACCAACATCCGTGTCTTCCAGTCCGTACCAATACTTTCAAGATAACTTTCTACTAAAGCTTTATCCTCTTGGTCACATACATACATGATGTCACGGAAACGACGCATGAAGTCTTTTTGCATTCCATGAGACTTATTGATTTTGATCATGTCCATAATATGAAATCCATCTTTTAAAACACGGGAGTCGACAGAATTCTTATTGGTATTGATTGGTGAAGAAGTGGTATCGCTGCTAATGGGTGGTATTTGTATGATTGGGGTATTAGAAGTATCAGAAACTGCATTATGTACTCTTTCTGAAGCTGTAAACAGATATTTGCATTTGATATAAACAGTGAAGGGTATATTATGGAAATCACCTAAGGTCAGACCCTCATTGTAACACTCCAAAGGGTATCCAGGAATAGTTATTTTCACAACTTTTACAATAAGTGCACTGTTGGTATGAAGTGCTTCATGGGTATTATTTGTAGGAGGGGTATCATCATTGCATATATAGCCGTATCCAGCAACAGAGGACGAGGCAGATTTGTCCAAATGAATTGCAATAAAAGAACCGGCTGTTGTGTTGACAGTTACTTTCTGATGAACTGTGGGCATATGTTTGTATCTGGTATAAATTTCGTATGACACCCAAGCGTCCAAAGCTGCATAATTTATTTGCTCTTCTGAAAGGATTGGGGCTTCCCAATTGCCACAACGAACAAAATTTGTCTTGGGTAACTGCACCTTCAGAACAAGCCCACATATATCGGCCAAAGATGTATTTCTTCTTTCAATGAGATCCTTGTCTTTGCAAAAGGTACCAAGTTCCAGTTGACCAGGGCATTGTTGGAGACCAAAATAGCGAAATCTTGTAAGATCACCGCTGACGTTTTTTCCGATTTTGGCTATTTTAGTATCAGTGAGGATCTTGATTAAATTTTCAGGTAGATTGTCTGAGGCGAATGAGTGTATTCTCATCAAGTAGACAGAATTACCGTAAGCGATTTGCACCAAAGCAACAGGAACGAACTTCAAACCAGACTGCTCACTGATGGAAATTGCTGATCTTTTACCTCTTACAGCCCATTCGCAGTCAAATCCAATGGCAATTGTACCCTGCTGTAAACATTCGTCAAGAAGTTTTTGGCATGATTGATTAATGTCGATAGTAGTACTTAAAATTGATACCGTTATGTTATCTGGCAATCTGGCTACGGGGTAATTTTTGAATGGGCTGTTCAAATCGACTTGTTCTGTTATAGTTGGATTTTTATGAATAACGTCTTTCAGGAGAGAAGGTATTGTCGATTCCAAGAACAACCGATCACCAAGAACATTGTCCGTGTAGAAAAGCTCTGGCATTTTAAAGCCATACTTTTTATAGCTCTCCATCATGTTATTAAAAGATGGAGCCAAGTGTTCCAATGACTTTGTAGGCGCAAGTACTTGTAGGCGAATTTCTTCGTATTCGTTCAAGAGGGTATACAGACATGAAAATGTTGACACCCCATTGATTTTGGCCATATGTTTTATAATCTAAAAAAAAATTAATTGCTGGCCTGTGTTGTTTGGATATGAATTCTGATGTGTGCATACCTTAAAAGAATGGTCTCCTTTTAAAACAATTCCATCCAAAAGTGACGTGTGATGATTCATATAAGGCCTGAGTTCATCTATGATTGAGCAATAAACATAACTTATGTAATTGGCTGAAGGTACATATCCGTTGTATCCGTTTCTATCATTAAACGTCGAGAACTCTGGGTATGTTGTAGCCGTAGAAACATTTCCTACCAGCTTCTTAGCCATCTTTTGTTCATCAAGCTTATCTTTTAAAGCATCATAGTACTGGAATTGAATGGAATCGAATTTTTCTGTATGATTTGTTCGTAAAATTTGGTGCATTCTATGAGGGCCGGCAGCATTTTGAAATTGTGTGCGTAGGAGCCTTACTAATTGCTTTGAAAAACCAGAACGATGGGTAAGCACAGCAGGGAAAT